CTGTTTGGCGGTGTGGGGATGTGTGACCTGCTTTGATAGTGTGTACTTAAATGACTTTTTAATTTACTCAAAAGTAAAGAGTAGACTGAGTTATTTCTGCAGCAGTTTGATATTGTTAAGTAGACATCAGTGTCCTTTTGTGCAACTTTTAGTTTTCAGTTTGGGTTTTTTGAAGTCTTGCAAAGCCACTTCATCTTTCTTACTTGAAACCTTTACCAAAACATGTGATCGGTTTTAACATCACAGAGCACACAGATATTTTTTTAAATGAAGTTTAAAGTGTCTGCTTTCTGAACTAAATGTTGAAAAATAACGTTGAACTGCTTGGTGATGGACATGTGTTTAAAACAGAAATATTTGGGTGTGAACATGTCATTATTTTTATTCCTTAGTCCATCAAATCTTGAATGGAAATGTCTTGCTAGCGCTTTTTACCCATTATGGCAAGTCAATATAAAATTTCTATTTAAATTGAAATAGAAATAGAAAACAACGGATTAGCATACAAATATATAAGAAACCGACACATATTGAAAAATGTCCCCAGGCTTTTGAACTGTGACCAAGAGAAGAAAGCTCTGACACCTCGTCACAGTTCAAGAGGAAAATAATTTAAAGCTCCAGTGAGGAACTTTCTGTTATTTTTTATATTGGAGACTCAAACTCTTAATCTGTGCCATCTAAGAAAGAAAAAAAAGAATGTATGAAGTCAATCAACTCTATCGATACCTATAAGCAGTTTAAGACAAAAAGAATTACGAGCAACTACCGAGACATTTTTGTCTTTTTGATGATAATCTCGTATCCCCCTACCAATCCTGAGGAGGCTTCAGATTGATACCACCCTTATTTTGGAGGTAGATAAAAACTTCTCACAGGAGCTTTAAATTACTGTACTAGGGTCAAATGTTAGGGGTCAAGTTATACATAATTTTAAAAGATAAACGTTTAAATGAAACAAAATAAGATTTTGATATTTTTTAAATAATGTTTCCTAAAATATAGCCATCTTGTCATCGTGCTATCTTATCATTTTCTTGTTGGTCTTGTCTCACCTTGCTGTGTCTTGTTCTTTGTCATTGTTGTCTATTGTCGGTGTGTTTCTTTTGACCATTTCTGTTGGATTCTTGTGCAATATGTGCAGTGTGTGTATGTGCAATGTGCGTGGGTTGTGTGACTGTGTCTTTGTTAGGTCTAGTACTTTGTGTCATCAGTTGGCAGCTTTATCTGTGCAGCTCTTGGAGTTCAAGACAAATTTCACTAAGGGGACAATAAAGTATATCATATCGTATCGTATTTATTATCTGTAGGTTTTTAACAAACGCTGTAAGGAAGACAAAATAATCAAAGACATATTAAGAACATTTTCATCGATAAGAGAGAAAGTTAATTTGAGTGTAAGGACCAACACAGCTGACCACAGGTCTGTTTGCCCCATTAAAGGTTGAAAGGTCTGAAAGAGTGAGAAAATCACCAATCAGAAAAAAGCCTGTAATGACTCCCACAGCCAGAGGGGGGAGACAAAACTTCCGCCTTGATCGAATTGCAGCAATGCCGGCTATAAATTTAACATCACAGTGCTTTAAAAACACGAAAATGCTTTATTTCTGTAGATTCTAACGCTATCATTGCTGATGTCTGCCCATTTATCTTCACTTTGATTGCATGTCTCTGAATGCAGGAATTTTGCGTGTGAGAGACGTAAATGGAGAATAGGACTTGTCCCAAAGGAAAAAGGCTCAGGATACGTCTTTATTAATAACAGAGAATAAAAAGGAATGATGCTATATTGATTAAAATATTGATGACAATCTAAAATACCACATTGAGCTGTTTAAATGGCTTGCAGCAGGTGGGACAAAAGAGTTTTTCCGTCTGTTATAAAGGAGGATATATCTGCAGCCAGATGGAAGCAACGTGAAGTCTTCACACAGCAGGTGGTCTGGATCATCCAAGACTGATGGAGCCTTTTTTAGGAGTTCTGATTTCACCTTCCCTTCTTAAATTAATCAAAGTAGTTACTGCAATTTAGAGGCACAATTTAATGATTCTCACCAACTCACGCCTGTATTTTTTTAATCAAGAAATTTATAAAAGAGAGAATGTGAGAACAGATTCACTAAAACGGGCATGAATGTTTTCAAAACCACAAAGCTCCTGATGAAAATACAGCCTTTGATAAGCTTTCCAACAGACAGCATCAACATGAGGCTTAAAAGTCTGCCTGCCATCCACAGCGGTGTCAAGACACTTGTAATGGTGCACAGCCTCCACCTGTCCTTTCCATTAATCATCACTGGAGAGTCCTCTCAAAAACCCACAGTCATCTCCATCACTTTGGAGAAATTTGTGTTTATAAAAGATTACTTGCACCAATGAATAAGAGCCATTTAAAAGAAGGCCAGTAACAGAGACAGTAACAGAATCATCAGCATAGATTATGAACACAACATGTTTCTAAAAATCTTTTTGAATTAAAGCTCCTGTGAGGAACTATTATTTGTCTATTTTTGTCATTTTTCGCATCCTTTGTGGTCAAATTAGTCTTTGCTTTTCTTGTCTCCTGCTTGCTAAAGTTGTGTCTCTGAATAAAATCCTCATCCTACTGACTTTTAGCAATCAATTGTTTTATTTTTTTGAATATTTAATATGAAAAAAAATGTAAAAATACAAAAAAAAAAAAGGAAAAAAAGTTTCCTACCCCCAGCAACTTCACTAACATCCACCCCGTTGCACCAGTTTTAGGCTAAAAAAAAGAAAAAGACAGTTTCACACCATCAATCGTGTTGCTGGTGATGTGCTTTGTTTTAGCAGATCACCAGCAACATAAAGAGCATCAACATGAATTTCAGTCTACTTCATAAATGTCAAAATAACTCCTTACAGGAACTTTAATTTACCTCAAATGCTTTTTATAGGGATGCACAGTCAGTATAATGTTGGTATCAGTCGGTAAAAGCTTAAAAGTTAATTATTAGCAACAGCAGATATGAAAATTTCCACAGATATGTTCAACTGATAAGGTCATACATCAACTGTGGCCACAGAATGAGTTATAAGTGCCACTACTGAGCTTGAACATGTTAGGAACTGAAGTATTTCTTTTAAACATGCAGTAAATTAGCTATTTGCAGTGTTTTTAAAGCACAGGTGATGTGGAGAGGGTCAAAACAACACTCTTTTAATGCTACCAGTTTAACTGCGCATCTCAAGAAGCATCATTCTGGACAGCATCAAGAGTTTCTTGAGCGTAAGAACAAAAAAGTATCAACGCCAGTGAAGTCTTGTCATCAGCCTTGGCTACAGTCATTTGGCTAAGCAAAGAAATATAACAGCAACAAAACTTAAGAGTCAAATGAGGTTTATCTAGTTTAGTTCTGGACATGAGAGACTTTGATTAAAAAGGTGAATCAGGATCGACTCAAATTTGTTGGAAAATATCAGCTTCTCCAATATCATACATCCGTAGATTTTCATTATTTCTTGTAATGTAAGAGAAAACTGTCAAATCTCAGTTTTTTCAGTGAGGATGAGAAACCAGGAGAGAGAACTGATGCCTCCTTGAAGATTTCAGCCCACCTCTAAGAACCACAAAGTAAATCCAGTCTGCTTTGACATCTGCTGAAGCCGTACAAATTAAACTGCAATACTATATCTTCACATGACCTCTCTTTGTGTCCCAGTGGGAGGCTCCCTGTGCTCTAGGGTCTGGCTCCCTCCACTCATCACCCCGGGGTGATTGAGAGCACAGACCTCCATCTCTCTATAGAGGGCACCCACAGACCCAGAATGTCTTGTTTGCTGGAGCTGTGTACATTTTGTATTTGAAAGAGCAGCAAGTCAATGAATCTCGATAATGCGAGAGCCGGGCCACATAACTCACGTTGATAGTCCTTACATTGTGCCAAGAGGCGATAAATCTGCTCGGGGAGACATGAATATGCAGTGGCAGTCAGTCTGGCTCGTTCCTGCGTGCATGCCCCCCGATGCACCGTTTATTCCTCTCCCCCATTCCAAACAGAAAAATAAAACCAATGAGCCGCAGCACTATCTCATCAACACTGTTCTATTAAGCACAAAGGGGATGTATCAGTGCATTTTTCAGAATAAAAAAATGAAAATCATTAATGTTAAAAAAGGCTGTTTTGATGATGTTGGCCTATTAGAACAATGAAACCTGAAGATATCTTTATTTCTCATGCAAGTGCTTAAAACTATCTATCTATCCATCCAAAATACATTTCAAGAGTTACTAATTTATCCTCTGGTTACAGTGGAATCCAACTTTTTCATCATGCTCAAACTTCTCCATCTCATGCAAACTGCACTGCACACTTATTCTCTATCTTTACACCATAAACAGGTGATCCGGTTGCTACTTTCAGCCCGGCTTTCCCTCCCTCCTCTGCAGTGCTGACACAAACATGAGCAGCCCCCTCTCTCTATGTGCTTGTATATGTAACCTGCAGCTTGCGTTTGACGGCTCTCTGTGAGGCATGAAAAATGGACAGGCAAGATAGTCAGCGAGCAGTCACGGGGCTTTAATGTACTCATTGACACAGACAGAATGTCTCAAATAACAGCGATAAGAAAGCCTGCTTTGTCAATGGCCCAATCCCCAGCTGACACTTATTTCCCTCATGCAAATAATTCATCCCATTCACAATCCTGCAGGCAGCCAGGGGGGGATCCCATCTCTCTTTGCTCGAGGCAGAGAAAAAGGATGCTATTTTCATGCCAGTGCAGTAAATAAGAGAGAATCTGCATCTCTAACATGCCCGGGAACACCAAATCCTAAATCCCATTAGATATTATATGAAGGCATGAAGGGAGGACATGATGCACGTGTTGACAGAAACTGGACAAGCAGATAACCGGGTCATCACTCGGATCCCTCTCACCTCCATAAAATACTTCTTGGACATAGTTGACAAGTATGCGTAACGACGCGTGCCTCTAGTGGCACCGTGGAGGGAAGGAGGGTCGTCAGACGCACGCAGATGCGCGGCTTCCTGCACTACCTTTCCATCCAGCACAAACTGGAAGATTTAGAAAATGAACACTGTGTAACAAAGAGCCTTTTTGAGCAGATTTGGACCTTCTTCAATGACCAGCCTCGCGCCATCACCGCGCGCAACTGGAGAGGAGCGTCACGGAGCCTCTTCACAAAGTACCTCTGTGTTGCACGGACACTTTCCCTGACTGGAGTGATTAAACTGCAACAAGCATTCCGCACTCATCGTGTAACGCTCCTCTCTGCTTGTCTCGAATCGTTTGAGGCGACCCAAAGTTCCGCAGGCGCAGTTCTCCTCCTCCACGGCGGTGCGGGAGTCAGGCTCGGCTGTTGCCGTGGTGCTCGCCAGTAGACAGATAGCATCGGCGGAAGGAGGGGATACAGAGACTCCTGCAGGCTAATTGTAACAGCCTGTGTTCGCAGGTGTATCACTGATCCGCCTGTGAGGGGACTGGGGGGCTTCATCCTGATCGAGCCGCTCTCGGACTTGTGAGTAAGAAAAAGAAAAAGAAAAAAGAAAAAAAGGGGAAAAATCACCAGAGAGAGAATGTTGCATCAAGTACAATGAGCGCACATTTGTCGCAGACACCAAAATCTATTTATGCTCCGTCGAATTCAGTTTTGATGAGCAATTCTGAGCCGTCTTTGGAATTTTAAAAAGTGGATCCCGAGACTTTACAACCATGCGAAACACTTGGCTGTCTCCCCGGAGCGCGATTTGGGAATACTGGACCTCGCTGATTGCATGTCTCTTTTGGATTCAGTACACTTACGGGATGCCGCATGTTATTCGAATAGGTAAGTTGTCCACATGTACATTGACACTCATTCACGCACAGTACGTTTTGCATTATAACCTTGAAAGTTGCTCCTTTTTTCAATACGGGTCATTATCGCGGGGTAGTTTTGGAGCGTAAATGAGCAGTCCCCTTTCATTTGGCGTGCGTGGATGTTCATTTTGACTTAAAGAAAGGGCAACCGGGAAGCAGTGCATTATTAAAGACGATTGCCTATAAAATTGAGGATGCCCTCTCCACTCAGGGACCACTCAGTGAAATATTCTGGGTTAGTGTGACCTCTATGCACCCTGCTTTGCCCGTTCCATTTTCTGTAAGCAGCTTGTTGAGTCACCAGGAAAAAAAAAATCAGGCTCATTGCTATTCTGAAGGGAAGTTTAAGCTTTTAAGGACAGTCTGGTAAATAAAAAGCAGGATCAAATTAGATAAAATAAAGTTTTATACAAGGGTGGGGGGGAAAAGTTTGATTCAATCTGCTCCAATCTTTTCACTCCAGACAAAACAAAGTACCCCCAGACATGACCAAAACAGTCTTATTTTGGTCTAATATCCTCCTTGTGGTCTTTCACACATGTATGAGACACAATAAGAATCACCAGCAGCAGCAAGGTTTGTGCAGCGTTGTCACTTTTCCAATCACTCACAGGAGGAACAATGTGAGAATTGTCATTCGGAGGCTGGCGATGTGATGAAACATTTTGCGCCGCCAAGAGACAAGAACAGAATGAAGATCAATACGGTTTTTGTCACGAGGCAAATCGTTTTTGACATTTTGGCGGAGAGCCATGCAGGACAATTACTCAAAATGGCACTGGCCCACATTAACATACCCACTACAAGAGCCGGGAGTACAGGCAGACACTCAGGGGGAGAGTGAGGGAGAGAGCATCTTAATGTCAGGGAGCTTTTTGTCTTGGAGGTATAAATAATGAGAGGTGAAAGTGGATGGATGTTGGAAAAATGGCATATTGTATATTTCAGTAGTCTAAGTGAAGTAAATGGCCATCTGAGCCAGTTTTTCCTCCTGTTTGACGGATTTGCAAATCACCAACATCCTGCACTGATTCTCTAATTCATAATTCCTGTCAGGCTCAGTGGGTGGTCGTAGAAAAGCTACATTAATTTGAATTAGAGTCATTAGATTTGAACAGGATGAAGTATAATTACTCAGCCTTGTAACCTTGACTGTTGATGTCAAGCTGCCTTCATATTTAATATAATTTGTAGAAGACAGAGAGAAAAGAAAAGGTAAAAAAAAATCACAGAGTCCAAAGCAGATGAAGAGAGCGTCATCATGTGCAGCTGTCCAGCAGGCCCAGGACGTCCCTGTGATTGACAGCTGCTCTCTGAGGAGCCGTGACTCCTCTGACATTGCTGTGTATGGACTTTAGTGACGTCTTAAGGAACTGCATAAATCTTAAAAGCTCCCCTTCTGATCTGATCTGAAATCATTTGGTCCAAAAGGACAGTTTCTTTCCTTCTCCTTCTTCCTCTCTTTCTACAGTGGCAGCAGCTCAAATGAAGACTTGAAATAGACCTGACAGGCTTTGTTTTTAACAATGTCAAAGTGCTGAGACAAATTTACCTTGAAATGTGCTACAGTCACACTCTGGCTTTTTTTAGAATCTATCGTGGCTCACCATGCGGGAGCAGTTTGGTTTTTCTTGTGTTGTTTTCTGAGGTTGGATTTTGACAAGCGGAGAAGAGGGACATGCAGGAGGTGGATGCTGAATTTCCTTCAAATTCCAAATAAGAAAAAATTGTGAGGATTACATCCTTATTTGTTAATGTAGAGCGTAACACGGACTAAAAGAGACTCCATTTTATTTGGATCTCTTACAAACAGGCCCATGTGGAAAAATAACACTAGACATTGTAATAAAATTCAACTAAATTTTACTCGAATTCCCCTATTTTATAGTGTAGACATCTTTATTTTTAAGTGCATACTATAACCATCTGTATGTGCTATTGTAGGCATTATGTCTCTGTTAGAGGACATCTATAATCACAGTCTGGTGATTCGTTCAGGGATGAGCGCTTTTTTTGAGTGGGTGTGTAGTGGCCGATTTTACTCCCCCTCTTTTTTATTTTTTTATTTTGGTAAATTGGTACTTGGTGTGCAAGTGTGTGTTTGTCACAGCCCCCCCTGTTAAAACCAACAGAGGGCTCTCTCATAGTGCTTCCATGGTGGCCGGCGTCGCTGCTCAGCACTGGTTCCCAACACAAACAAACCCAGTGAAAAACACTGAGGTGGGCGGCGGTATTCGCTCTCTGTCTGTGCTGTGTCTGCTCTTGGTTAGGTGGCCTGTGCAGCTCTTCCTCCAAGTACACCATCTGGGTAATGGTGGGCATCCAAGGTAGAGTTGTTGCCATTGATTTTAGTGCATTTTTACAGTGCGTTGCTCCAAGTTGAGGCCAGATGGTCGCTCCGTCTCATTCTGCAGCTTTTATTTGTTGGAGGGAAGAAAAGCGTACTCCTCCTGTATTTGTCCTCTTGCACGCTGTGCCTCTCTTTAGTCTCCCTCCGCCTTCATTTTGTCTTTTTTTTCCCCCCTCTCTTCCTGACATGTTTTTGCAACCTCTCAACTCATCTAGAAACCATCTCGGCTGATAATGCAATGTTGATATAATAAAGAGGAAAGTGCTGGAGGATGTGGATGGGCTTTTTTCTCTCTGAAGATGGCAGTTTGTGTGTTTGCCAACATGAAAATAAGACACATTTTGAAGCAGATGAATGTGATAGATGCTTTTTTTTTACTTTGTTCTGCTGTATTTTGCTTGTATTATTCATTAGTTTCCCTGCATGCATTGCTCTCTTCTCAATCAGATAGGGGTTTCCTAATTTAGAAAACTGGACCTTGTGTATTTATAGTGCCTTACACACACATATACATATATCAACCGATAAAGTATGTAGTATTGACAGATTATTGACTATCATCACTTACATTTGTAGACTGATGAAACTAATTCATCATTTGTTGCCTCTTTTCTCCCTCATTGAGGTTATTCACTGCCTGACAGGGATTTATTGAATAATCAATTACTTTATCTACCTAATACTTAAAGCACTTAATCAGCGCCAGTTAATCAATCTCCCTCATGATTTCCCGTTGATTTCATTTCCGTACTTATCGCTCTTTCCTCCAACCGCACCTGCTCACATGCATTTCTCCATTTTGCTCCTCTTAAAAGCTCTGGGCAGCCATGACTGTGGGTGTAATTATTGCGCCTAAAACAGCCTCAGACATTCAGATGTAAGCTGACAAATGTGCAGCACTTGAAGCCGCGTGCAGTGTGACCGCTCGTAAGCTTCGGCAGGATAAACCGGGTTTCGTCGGTCACCACTTTTCGTCGGTTGAAGTCTGCAAACACAGAGCCACTTCAGAGGCTTGTCTTTATCCCCACACCACCACCACCACCACCACCACCAGCAGCAGCAGCAGCAGCAGCAGCAGCAGAGAGAGAGAGTGACTGAGAAGTTTTCATGTGATTAACTCTTCCAGCCAGCTATAGAGAGAGGAGTGCATCCTCAACTTGCAAGATCCTCCTCATCGCCTTTTTTATTTTTTTTTTCCAAATGTCTCATGTGAAATGACTCAGACATATTTCAAGAGACTGAAAAAAAAAAAAGCTGTTATGGTACTTTGCAGTTCTACTTTTAACAAAGTCAAACCCAAAAGGCTGCTTGTATTGAGAATTACCCACAAGAGGATGGTATGGATGGAAAAAGAAAGTGAAGAGGAGGATGTTAAAAATGTTTTCTTTTTTTTTATTGAGGGTGGCGATGGAAGGTACAATGTTTCATCAAAAGTTATATCAAATTAAGATGGCCATCAGTTGCGGAGTGCAAATGAATATTTCATTTTCATCTAAATTTAATCTCCCTCCAGACCAAGAGAGAGAGAGAGAGAGAGAGAGAGGAAGCAGGGAGAAGCTCGAGGTGGAGGCTCGGGGTTGGGGAGTTGTCGTGGTGAATATGAACAAAGCCTTGTAGAGGTCACCGAAGAATTGGATACAGGGGGATGCTTCTTTGATGTGTAATTCCATTATCTGTTAGCAGAAGCGGAGATTGAATGGGGGGGTGGGATTCAATGCTTGTTTTACCTGCGCTTACACACCCCTCTTCATCCACTAACATGGACGGATAAATAAACTGCAGAGACCGAAACCATGGGTCTATTTCCTGCGCGCACTCACGGACACCCACTCTATAAAGCCATTCTCCATCCACAATATTTTCCAAAACATATGTCTGGTCTCACTGGGCCTCTTGTACACAATCCAATCCCATTCTCTCTGTCAGCACACTCACGGCTCGTCATTAGCTTCAATCTCGCTGATGAGAAACGGCAGATGTTCGTTTTGTTGTGCAGAGGGCCCTTTCTCTGAACGTGCTGTCGTCTGAGTTCGCCTGTGATCCTGCGCAGACAGAAACACTCCACTTCCACAAACAAATACCAAGCTCCAGGCCTATTACTGTTTGTTTGTGTGCTCAAGAGCAGAGCCCCTTTTTTCCAGCTAAGTCAGTAAATCCAGTCAAAACGCATTAAGAGCTCCGCCTGAGTCAGACTGTATTAAACAAACAGTGTGTTTAATTC